GGGCGCGGGTCCTCAGCAGCAGCCCAGCCTCGACACCGCCCGCCGCGCCTCCGAGGACTTTCACCCGCGTGCGCCGAGCCCGCCACGCGCTCTCAATTTTTTATTATAGGGAAGGATCTACAGGCTGTTCAGGGTCTCACTACTAGATCGGACTCAAAGTGATCCTCCTGTTTACAGCTTCCCAAGAGCTGAGACTATAGGCGCGCGCCACCATGCCCAGTCTCAATTGCCATCTCAGTGCGCCCCGGGGGCAGGGCCAGCACAACAGGCCCAGCGATTGAACCCCAGCCTCTGCACCGGCTTGCAGGTGCTTTAATCTGCTGAGCTAACTGGCTGGCCCTTCATGAAGCTTCTGCGTTGGAGCAGCCCACCATGGACTGAATCCCTGACCATGAGCCACGTTAAACTGCTCCTCCTCCTTTATGTTGCGGGTGTTGGTTGTTGTGTCCCAGCAGTGAGAAAGTGCCCAAGCAGATGCATTTAACAAGAAAGAGACAGAGGAGGGTGAGAAAGCGTAGGAAGAGGCCGAAGAGGAGGCAGAGACCAGGCAGGCGGGGTGAAAAGCTGAGGCCAGTGCAAGCGAAATGGGACCCTGTTTTCTGCGCTACTTACTGGGCCAGTCATGGTGCAGGTGGCTTGCTCGTGGCAACCCCCATTGAGGCCATCTGTGCAGGGGTCTATCTCCATACAGCTGTGGCCATCTCCCTGGTAGCCCGTTGGACATCTGCAAGAGACCTTGGTGCCCTTCTGGGAGCACTGGGCAACCTTGGCACAGCCTCCGTTGTTCTGTTTGCAGAAAGCCACAACTGCAAGAAGGAGTGAAGGGGCTCTATGCACCATCATTTGTGTTCCTGCGGCTGCTCGCTGGGGGAGGGTCACTGGTTACCCCGCCTTGGGATGCTGAGGAGTAAATGGGCTTCTGCACAGCTGTGCCTCTGTTCCATGTCCTGTGGCGCCTGTGGAAGGCTTTGCAACACTGTGACACCCTCATAGATCAGGCCTGGTGGCCTCTCTCCACCCTTCTAGGCTCACTGAGGTAGCAGTACTCAGATTGAGCATGGGTTTGGAATGTGTGCAGGATTAGTTCAATACAGGACACCTTATTGCCTTACCTTGGGAGACAGGCACTGTTTACCCTGCTCTGCAGATGAGCAAACTGGGGCCCCGGGAGCTTCACGGACCTGACAAGAGCTCAGCTAGAGCATGCAGGCCTGGGAGGCCAACCTAAGCTAATGTGGCCTTGCTTTGTTGGCTTGGCTCTTGAGAACTTGCTTTTCACAATCTCCCAAACTTCAGCCTCTAAACACACTAGCTCGGGCTTTGGTGCCAGATGGAAAGTGTCTTGAGTTGTTCTGCCCGACCTTGCGCAGTCATGGCAGCCACTTGAGACTCAGAGGATAAGCAGGAGGGCAGAGCCTTTGCCACTAGGGCTAGGAGGGAAGAGAGAGCCAGCCAGGGGAGTGAGGTAGACTGTAGCAGTTTGCAGGTTTTGCTTCAAAAGGGAAAGGGGATTCTTCTCTTTTCTCTCCTCCATCCTGCTGTCTGGGTTGGGTTCATGGTGGTGGCCATCTCAAGCCATTCAAAGTACAATGGCCAAGCAAAAAAAGAGAAGGGATGTGGATTCCCAAATGCTTTTCATCGAGAAACTGTTCCAGTCCTCAGGCCCCCACCCCAGCCATTACAGGAGAACAGAAATAAACTTGTTTATGCACTGTTCAGCTAGGACTCTGAATGGCCAGGCCTACGTCTTAGCTACAAGGGATGGACACTGCTGCCGTGTTCACAGTGGTTCTCACTGGGAGTCAGAGTACGTGTAGGCGTCACTTTTTAAAAAATTCGGCACATTTTCTGAAGGCTGTACCACTTACAGAATTAGAAAAAACAAACAAACAAACAAACAAACAAACAAACTCTGAAATATAAAATTCATCCTGCCTTGCAAAACAATGGTGAAACCATGTCCTGTAAGGTTATCTGGCCAGCACTGGGCATACACACTGAGGAAACTGAGTCACACACACACGCACACACCATTGTTCAAGAGCTCTCGACAGGAATCTGAAGAGCCCAGGTGGAGGTGGCTGCTGTGACCAGCCCTGGGCCTCGCCTTGGCCACGTTGCTGTTTCACACCTGTGCAAGGGGAACTGACCTGTGCATGTTATCCCGTCGCCTTCGTAACCCAGGTTACATTCGCACGTGTTGTTCTCCACACAGGTGGCATGGGCGGAGCAGGGGGGCCTGCAAACTGGGGACACAGCTGCAAAGGGAAAGGACGCCATCTGTCCCATGCCCACCCGGTGAGGAGACGGGGCCCACCACGAGTTTTCCTGGGGCTTCCGGCCCCAGTGCCATGAACACGGAGGAGTAGTCAGCTAAGGTCCCTCTCAGCCCAAAGAGCCTGAGTTCCAGAACGACTGCATGTCCACAAAGTTGCTGGCATTCTGGTGCAAATGTGTTACCTCAGAGGCAAATGGGAAAACCTTCCAGCTGAAACCTGTTAATGGAGTTGAACTTGGGGGTCCAACTGTCTGGTCCCAAGCACATGGGGGCCCAGGGGAGATGGCTAAAGTGCAGGGGAAGTGCTGCTGTCGTCCTTGGCAGCGCTCCTTCCCCTCCCCTCCCAGCCTGGGACAAGCCTGGAGCTGTGGTGCAGGGCAGGGAGGGTTGCCGTGGGAATGGGTAGGGTGGAGCTGGGGTGTCTGTAGAGGAGGCGGGGGAGCTGGAGTCAACCATACTGCTAGAGTCTCTGGAACCCCAGGCTGCCAGCCCCCTAGGAAGACACTAGATCCCTCCCGGCTTCTCTCAGTTAAACCCAAGGCCTTCGCATTTAGCCTTTAAAAAAAAGAAATTTAAAAAAAAAATTGAGACAGAGGTCTTGCTAGGTGGTCCAGGATGGGCTTGAACTTAAGATCCTCCTGCCTCAGCCTCCTCCGCACCTGACTACAGGGGCAGTGAACTGTCACGGAGCTACAGCAGATCACGTCATAGCTCAGGCCTCCAGGGCGGAGGATTCGGAGCTTGGGGGAGGCCTCAGAAGACTGCTTGCTCAGGAATGGTGACAAGGGTGATGACAGTGAAGCCACCATTCTGTGAACCTTGCGACCCCGGGGCAGCCATAGTGAGGCACGGTCCCATGCGGGAAGATGTGCTGGTTCCAATTGAGCCTCCCCAGACCCAAGGCCACAACAGCTTTCCTTCTGGGCAACAGGGACACCTGCTTTGTCAATCACTTTCCTGCGTCACCCATCCCCCAGCCTCCCGTGATCCCCAGGAGGGCCTGGGCTTGCTGTCCCACACAGACCTTTGGGTGTGTCGCAGAAGCGGCCCGTCCACCCGCTTTCGCAGAGGCACTGCCCAGAGCCCGAGATCCCCTCGTCGCACTGTCCGTGGATGGAGCAGTTGCAGGCTGGAAGGCAGAGTTGGTGTCAGTGAGAACCTGCACGGAGACGTGGTCACTGCACACTGACCTCCTGGCACTGGGAGCCTTTTTTATTATTTTTTATTTTTTAATAGCTGTGCTGGACTCCTGGGCGACCCTCCTGTCTCAGCCTCGCCAGTGCTGGGTTGACAGACGTGTGCTACCATGTATGGCTCACTCCTTTCATCCAAACACCCTAATCATAAATCACATTGCCAGGTGGCAAGATGATAGGGACAATGGGGACAGGAGGTTATGCAGATGTGGGCCTGGGGACACAGTAGGTGGGAGAAAGAGGAGGAAGGCATCTGTGAGCTTTATTAAAAATTAATAATGCAGTTTGGGCCTCTGCAGCCAGACTCAGAAATCAGAAGGGCAAAGTCAGCTAAAACGCAGTTAGAAGACAGAGAATTCAGGCCTGGGAAGTTCCCAGGCGATTAACATAAACTAACTTTCTCCTCACCTAATCCTTAACCCCAAACCTTGTCCTTAGGGCCCCACCTGCAGCCTTCTCCTGCCCCTAGGACTGGAAAGACCCGCAGAAGGAATCCAAGGTCAAGATGAAAGACAAGCCAGGGAACCAATCAGATCCCAGGAACCTTCATGGGCGGAGGATCACTGAGGAAAGATCCGCGGGCTGCGGACAAGAGATCCGCGGGCTGCGGACAAGAGATCCGCGGGCTGCGGACAAGAGATCCGCGGGCTGCGGACAAGAGATCCG